AAGCACAGTGCCAACAAGTAACCCTAGAGTTGTGGGCTGTTAGAACCATAGGTAATCTAAAGATAATCCAGACCAAATTACTGAAGCAGAAGTAGACAGAGTAAAATTCTAAATTTGGCCTTTTTCTCACGTACTAAATACTCATCACCTTCCACTGATCACTTAACAATTTTTCTGATTACTATTGATCAAGCGCTCACCACGTTCCAGGCATTCTGCTAAGTGTTCTACATGGATGATCTCATTTAACTCTCAAAACAAGGTGACTATGCTGATGGAGAGAGATTATAATTGTTTCCATTTTGCAAGGGTTGAAATGGAGGCTTGGAAAAATTCAATGATTCAACTAACATCACATGGCTGGTCTTCTAGCTTCTAGTTCAATGGTCAGTCCCTTACTCTACGGCGACTCTCAGCTATAAGTCCTCCAGGCTATATCTGAATTACTTATTTGAAGACAGCCAGCACATCTTACTTATCAAATGAGTTTCTAATGGTTCCATGAAACTAAATTCTCAGTCTCACAAATATTGGCATCGAACTCTTTGTAAGACTATTATTTTTTTAAGATTTTTCCCTGAGGGTCTGCTCCTGTCCACCTCCAGAATCTACTGCCCACTGTGCTCACAGGCCAAAGGCAAGATTCCTTCCCCGCCCCCCCACCGCCCTCCGACAAACATTTCTGTAGAACAACCTGAGCCAGGTAGGATGTTAGGCTCTGAAGGGGACACAGAGATGAAGAACACATGCTCCCCATTTTCCAGGTACTGGCAGGAGAAAAATATGATGAGGATACATGTGCCTACGAGACAAGGCAACCCATAATCAGTGTACTGTCAAGACAGAAGCCCAAATTAAATGCTCTAGGAATTCGGAGGCCAGACTCACTTCCAGAGGTTGCACCATAGGCTCTAGGAAGGAGATGGCCCTTGAGGTAGGTCTTGTATGAGGAGCAGAATTTCAACCAAGTGTATATGGAGCCTTTCCTTGGACTGGAACATAAATGCTTCCTGTTTTCTGAGTGTCTGGCTTGTACAGAACACATAGTAGGACCTCAAATAAATTTTCTAGTTGGACACTAACCACTTGGGGCTAGGCTAGGAATCAGGGACTTGGTTCTGATGCGACCACTGGACATAAATTGTATAAGTCCTATTGCTTCTCTGGGCCTCTGTTTTTCCCAACTATGAAATAGGGACATGGAGGGGAGTGGGTATAACCTTGCTCATGGGTTTCTGGTTAGGGTTAGGTTAAGTTAATATATGAAAAACTATCTGCAAGCCAAAATGAAATATAAATACCTGTCACTATTCTTACTGGTATTATAAAAACTAAAAAGAACCATTGCCCAGGTACCTCTCATTTATCCAATAACCTTTTTTGGACTAACTACACGGGGTCAGGCACTGGGGAAAAGATGAATACTATCCAGCCTCCATCCTTGGAATTTGAAAGGTCTAGGAAAGGAGGCAGAAGGTACAATTGATGGTATAGGTTTAATGTGCCAGGGCAAAGGCTGGGCTGGAGTTTGGTAGGATCTCTGCTCTTTCTTAGTGATAGTACAGATAGGTGGCAATGCTAAACCTGAAAACTTCAAAATCAGTCATTCAGCTGGTATGCCCCAACATAACATAGCCTTAAAGGTGAGGAGAAAATTTAAGCTTATACTATGTTCCAGGCACTCTGACATCCATCATCATGACAAGCTAGGTATTATGATGCCAATTTTACAGGTGAGGAAGCTGAGACTCAGAGAGGTTGGGTAACTTTCCAAGGTTTATAAGACTAGAAAGTGTAAAGCCTAAATTTAAACCCAGGTCATTCAACTGCAAGCTTGGTACTTTCCCCAAGACCACTTCTTGCTTTCTAATCAGCCAGTGGTTTCATAGAACTCATTCCATGCTAATCTTGATTGACCTTCTTTCTTGGCTTGCTTTTCCAAGGAGAAAGACTGACCTGTGATGAGATTTGACAGTAACATTTTCTGTTGTCATTTCCTTTAACACTTCCTATGATAAACCCCCTCCCTCTCACTATTCTCTTCTGACCTCTCCCTCACCTCCAACCCTAGTGAATCTGCCAAGGAATAACAAATCCCAACAAATAAAGAGCCTGCAGAGGAAGATCCCTACCTTCTCAGCCACTGGCCTATAAACCGAGACAAAACACACCGAAAGAAGGAAGAAACCTGCCATATAATTCTGTTCAAGGAGTCCACTAGACCCAAACCTGGCCGTGCCTTAATTCTGTGGAGCTGTAAGCAACCTACGCTCTACAGGAACCTGTAGGATTGTCAGATTTGCCTATTTTACACATAATGAAAACTGAAACCCAAGAAGTTGAAAGGACTTGCCCAACATCATACACTAGTGAGAGGCAAAGTCTGGACTGGAACCCAGGACTCTTGACTCCCAGGCCAATGCTTTTCCACTTTTTAAAATGGCTTGCCTCTTTAGCGTTTCCTCATTAACATCTCATCTTAAAGGAGATCATGGCCCTTTAAGAAAAAGCTTTCACTGTAGGTTCGTTCTCTGCAAAGCCCAGAAGCCAAGACTCCCTCCTCAGCCTCTGCTCTGATCAGCTCCTGTCCTCATCTAAAGAACAGGAAGTAGCTGCATTTTTAGCTCTGAAAGCATATTCTTGGGGTGGGAAAGGGGGATTTGGGGAAGAGAGTTCCTGTACATGAAGGTTATAAGCGATCAGCAGACACATTACTCTTGCTTGAAGAAGGGGAAGATATACGGTAAGACATACAAGGGAAGATGACGATTGTCCTTGAGCCCCAACCAGAAAACATCCTCAGCAAGAGCGGCCCCCAGCCCCTGCCTGAGGGGAGGGGGATTCTGCCCCGATTCTGCTCTGCCTGGATGCTGGAGTGGCGGCTGGGGTGGGAACACTGGAATGGGAAAGTTTGCAGAAACTTTCTACAACTTCCAATGCTTCCCCCACCCTCTGCTAGCACCCACAACTTCCCCTGCCAAGGGAGGAAGGAGGAACACATTATTGAGTTTAATAATTTATACAAATTGAAAAGTTTACTCTGAAATAAAGGGGACTTAAGAGGGAAGCAGAGAAAAAAAAAAAATTCCCAAGTCTTCTCTTAAAGGACACAGGTGTGCAGATGACCCCTCTTGATGACCTTGCTTCAGAATATGACAATCTGATTGTTTAATAGGTAGGTCTGAAATAAGGCAGTAACCATTCCCTCAATGGCTGGCCAAGTTTTGTCTCCTTCTACTGGTGGGATCACATCCAGCCTTAGGACTAACCACCTGGGACATCAAAGAACCCAGACCCAGATTCCTGGACACTTGTCTATGTCGGTGGTTCTCAAACCCGGCAGCCCATCAGATCGTCTGGGGAGCTCATTACAAATTTAGGTTCCCAGGAACCAACCCAGAGATTGATTATGGAGATCTGGGCTGAGGCCCAGGACTTCATTTTCGATAGGCAGGTCTGGTTTAAAAATCAATGGTCTGGTCAATCCCATCCATTCAGTCATCAAAACTTTTATACCAGATGCTGGTTTTATGGCAAAGAAAACCAACATCCCCAAAAGTAGGTTAGTGCCAGCACTTGGATTTGAATCCATTCTCCTGCCTCCTCAGGTGGGGTCTTTGCCAAAGCCCTCATGTACGGCTTCTCCCCACACCCCTACTCTGGCTCACCAGCCACTGAGAATCCCTGCAGATCAGCAGGGCCGGCTCATCTGATCCACAGAAGAGGCAGAGCTGCCAGGAACTTTGATTGAGGCCCGTCTGGTTTGCTGGTGGCAGTGGCTGGTAAGGGGTAGGGCTGAAGGTAGTTTTAAGGGCACTCTCAGAAAGCTGTGTCCTGTATCCTGGCCGGTAGTTGATGGCCTCTAAGGCACACTATCCAGCTGTTCCAGGCAGGAAGAAGAGTCGGCTCATGGCCGGGTGGCAGAGGCAGAGGGAGTGAGGGGGCAGTAACAGAAGATGCAGTCCGGAGGTGACGAGAGGCCAAACCCTCTAGGACCCTCTAGGCCACATGAAGAGCTTTAGCTTTCAGTCTGAGCCCCTGCAGGATTCTGAGCAGGAGAGTGGCATGGACAGACATATTTTCCCAGGGGCATTCTGATGCAGTGGTGAGAAGTGACTGTAGAGGGTGGGGGAAGAAGCAGGGAATCCAGTTGGGAGGGTTTGCAGTAATCCAGGGGATAAGGGATGGTGGCTCAGACCACGGTGGTAGGAATCTTAGATGTTTTTAAAGAGTAGAGCTAACAGATTTTTGGATGGATTGGGTATGAGATATGAGATAAAAGGGAATTGAGGATGGTGCCAAGTGTTTTGGCTTAAGCAGCGGGCAGGTTTGAGTTATCGTCAACTGAGATGGAGAAGGCTGTGGGTGGAGAAGGTTTGGGGGAGGGACGTCAGAGATCAGTTTTGGACTTGCTGAGTCACTGGCACTCACGTGGTATTTAAATAAAGTCTCACTACTCGATGAGATCATCAAAGAAGTGAGTACAGACAGAAGAGAGAAGAGGGCTGGGGACCCTCCCGTATAAAGAGGTTAGAGAGAAGCTGAGGACTCAGCAAAAGAGACTACGAAGGAGTGACCAGTGGGAAACCAGGAAGGTGTGGAGTCCTGGAAGCTGAGTGGACAGTGTTTCCAGGAAGAAGGAGTGATCAGTTGGGTCAGATGCTGCTGACAGATGAAGCAAGATCAAGATTGAGAACTGACTATTGGATTTAGTTACTGAAGGACACTGGTAACCTTGACACAAACAGCCTTTGACCCTAACCTCATGGAGTCCCCCAGTTTGACTACTGACTGTCATTTAGGGCTCCCTTATTGTAACTTTTCTCAATTAGATTATTAAACATTGCAGCATCAGGGATGATGAGTCAGTGTATCTCCGAGTCCCTGTAAAGCTGTAGAAGCTTCTAGAGCCTGCTGTAGACCCTAACACAGTTTGCTGCCAGACCCGCCTGAACACCCCTCCCACTGACCTAGAGCAATTTTCCTCATGCCTGGCTTACCTTGAATGCAGAATTTCAGTTCCTTGGGGTCAGTGACGACCTTCCTGCTTTCCCGGATCACAGCCCGGTTCTTCTTGGTTTCTCCCCAGAGATTGGTGCCACCGTACATGCTGGGAATGTTGAGAATAGCAATGCCTTCAAGGAAGATGCCGCTCAGGTCCACCCCAACTCCGTCACACTGAGGGGCAGAGAGAGAATTTCATCCGTTAGTGTCCTCAGTATATCCCAACCCAAGGTGGCATGTATGTATGTGTATGTGTGTGTGTGTGTGTGTGTGTGTGTGCGCGCGTGTGTGTGTGTGCACGTGGGGTGTGGGCTCTCATGGAGAATGTGAAAGGCCGTCAGCCACCAGCCAGCCTCTGTCAGAAGCTGAATCTTGGGCAACACTGCTCAGGCCTAATGCTTTGGCCACTGCAGTGGGGTGAGGGAGGTCCAGTCCTGGTCAGCTCTGGGGAGATAGCACAAAGCTCCAGGAACCGTCTATAGATCTAGAAGGGCTTTAGGGATGGTTCAGAAGACAACTGCAAACTGTTCACCAGTCCAACCTCATTATCATCAATCCTGCCCCTCCGTAACCACTGTGAAGATCTGGTGGAGCATTGAGTCCAGAACCTAACACTGCAAATTCTCAACAAATGACAGAAAAGTTTCATTTTACCTCTTCTTATTTTACCCCTCCTGTGAGAAGTATAAGACTTTAAGATTTGGATGGCTTTCAGAATCTTCCTGTCTCCTGTATCTCTATCGTAAGTGCAATTTTGGCATATGTGCTTGCTGATGTAGCAGAGTTTCTTTATCCAGTCTCTACCACCCACATCACCGCCAGGTACAAAAGGCCAGTAGGCTCCAATCTGCCTGTCTCACATATCTATAAAGTCAGCCTACTTTGGCATAATGCTTACCAACGCAGCAAAAAATAGATTAGCTCTGATCCTCGTTCCTCAGGACTGGAGGTAGTCTACTTCATTTACAGAAGAAAACATTACCCAGAGAGGTAAGCTAAGCTATCCAAGATTGCACAGTTGATAAATAACAGAGCAGGGGTTCAAAGTTGGGGAATCTGACTACAAAGCCCAAGCTCTTCGTCTTGCTTAATGCGAGGCAGGAAAGAAAATCAAAAGCATGCAACAAAAATCCACTATCTTTGAGGTTACCAACAAATCCAAACTTCCAGAGATTTCTTAACAGATGAGTCATAGAAAGGTAGGGCTTGTTGCCATTCATTTTGGCATACTTCCTGATTTCTTTGCAGCTCTCAGTTTATCGTATCTTATCATCCCCATGACTTGTCTCCCCAGCTACAAAATGGTAGAGAGTGAGCTTCTTTGGTGACTGGGAATTCCTTTCTTTATTAGGAAGTTCTGATTATTTCAGAGGTCTTTTAATGTTGAACCTGATTCTCTTCCTTCCTGCTTCCACCCGTTGGTCTTATTCTCCCTTCTGAAGTCAGACAGAATGAACCTCCTTCTCCTCCACGGAAGTGCCCACTGGGTACACGATGATGTGCAACCATCAGCAGCAGCAGCATCATGCATATGCATTAAACGTTGCCATTTGCCAGGTAGGCTTTATACACATCTCATTTATTACCTTCATAATAATCTTATAAGTTAGTACTAGGATTACCCTCACTGTACTTTTGGGGAAACTGAGGCACAGAGGCAGTTAAGTAACTTGCCCAAAGTCACACAACTTACAAACGGAAGTACACAGATTGACGGCAGGCTGTCGGAGTCTCAGTCTTACCCACTCCTTTCTCTCTCTTCCCTCTCACAGCACCATTTAGTTGTGCCTCAGGGTTGAGCACTGTCAAGTCTCTGGCTCCTCCTGTGGGACTTGCCCCGTTCTGTACACACTACGGTTTGTTACTGTCCTACTCCATAAGGTCCTGGCACTGAAAAGAACACCAATGGCAGAATCTGATGGCACAGGCGGCAATGTCACCAGCACTTCCTGGGGCTGGGATCATGCCCCAGAAATGAAATAATGTGGGGAGCCCAGGTAGAGGCTCAACATGTCCCCCATGATCATTATCCTTACTGTTTGATCAAGTTTGCACTAGCTCTTTTATGAGCAGCTACATGACGACTGAATCACTTCAGCTTGAGTGGGTGGTCATCTCAGGCACTCAGGCCCTCATCCCATCATCTACTTCTCAGCCCAGTCTTCCCCATCCTGAACTTGTGTAGGTATTTTTAAATAACTTAGACAGAGGGTTTTGCACTTAATTTCATCTGACGTTCAGACCAAGCCCCCAAGAGTCCATCTAGTTTATATTAAATCTTCATTCTGTGACCCTATGCAATAGCTCTCCTATTATTTGCAGATTAGGTCCATTAATACACATATATAAAGGGCAAAACAGGGAATAAGCCCTCTCCTTGGTCAGTTTAACACACCAGATATTGTGCATTAAATGGCCCTTGGGGTGTGGCTGCCTTCTCAGGGCTGCACCCTCTGAACAGGACTGTCACCCAGCCCACTTTTCATTACAGTATGGAATCATGGAACTCAGAGATGAGAGGGACCCAAGAGAACATGTCCTATCTTTCATCAGTGAGGCCCAGTGAGGTTAAAGATCTTGCCTGTGGTCATCCAACTTACTAATGGTGGAGTTAGACTAGTATCCAGGTGTTCAGACCTCAATTCTGTGCTCTTTCCACTAAAACATAAGACATTGTGCTGAGATCAAATAGCATTTCCTAAATAACCACCCTACAACCTCTATCAGAAAAGGAATAAGAGAACTCATATTAAGCCACTAATATCTGTAAAGGGCAAGTACTTGGTTAATACTTTATTCCAGAATTTTGCCAGGGGTTGGGATGAAGTATATCAGTCTGTGGTTTCCAGAATGTATCCTTTACTAATTTTTAAAAACTGGGGCATTTGTGTGTTTGCCTCTCATTGGATGGAACCCACTGTGTTTTCTGGATTTGTCAGAGTGGTCCCCGAATGCCATCTATAGGTTTGTCCAGCAACTTGGATTCAAGTGTGTATGTTTTCCAAGGCCAGTTAGTTCTCTACTGATCAGCTTTGGGCTCTGATATCTACCTTTATCATTTGTTCTTCCATTTTTGGTTAAGGCTACTCTCTCTCTGGAAAAAATAAAAAAAAACTCTTTTGGAATGTCAAAGTCCTAAAGAGGTATGCTTTCCATGTTCTCTTTTTTTTTTTTTTTTTTTTTTTGCGGTACGCGGGCCTCTCACTGTTGTGGTCTCTCCCGCTGCGGAGCACAGGCTCCGGACGCGCAGGCTCAGTGGCCATGGCTCACGGACCCAGCCGCTCCGCGGCATGTGGGATCTTCCCGGACTGGGGCATGAACCCGTGTCCCCTGATTCGGCAGGCGGACTCTCAACCACTGCGCCACCAGGGAAGCCCCACACATATTCTTATTTAGGGATTTATAAATGTCAGACTTATTCTCTGACTTATTCACTGGGTCAGACTTTTCTCCAAACTCTGAAATTAGCTTTGCTCAACCCTGTGCCCAGCATTGAGTTCTTGAACGCTTTTCACCTCCTAGACCACTCAGTCACTTTCTCTGTTGGTTGTAGTGACTTCCGCATGACCTCAATTTATTCATTGTTGGCCAAAACGCCCCCTCCCTTCTAGAAGTAATAATAATAATACTAGCAGTTATTTGACAAGAGCTTCCTTGTGCTGGTCCTTCCCTTACATTCTCTCTTGGGATGCTCACCTGAACACCGTGAGGGAGGCACCATTGCTACCCCCAAGGTACAGGGTCTCAGAGGGGTTAGGGTGCTGGCTTAAGGCTACACAACTTCCCCTCTACAGGCTGGCAGAGCTCGGTTGCAAACCCAGGCAAGTCAGAGGCCAGATTCTACTCTGGAGACGAAAGAGTCAGTGCAGCAAACTGGGACTTTTGCTGATGCTAGACTTGTTGCAAAATTAAACTTCCAGCTGTTGTTTGAATAATTGAAATCTCCCACTACTACTCTGTATTGTAGAGTACTTAGAGCACTGCCTGGCACGTCAATGTTGGTATCAGTATTATATCTTGCTTCTGTGCCAGATTTGTGTTAAAAAAAAAAAGTAAACCATTAGCACAGCACAGTCCTTGGCACACGGTATTCCATAAAGTCACCTTTCTTCCCTACTGCTGTTTTAAGTGTACTCTGTCCCCTCCATCTCTAGTCATAACAAGCTAGGAGTGTTAGTTATTAACTTGGTAAGCCGTTAACCTCTCTCTGGAAGAGCAAACAGTCCTCACTCTGCTTTATGATAGAAGGTCCCCTTCCCCCACTATCTCACTGAGTCATAGGTGGACTGGGGCGAGTAGAAGAGGTGGGGGGAGCCTGGGGACTGTTGGATGTAGCTGCTCCCCACCTTTGGAATGCACCTATTTGGAAATTGAGAGGCAGTGCCTTGTCTTGGAAGGAGCATGCCTGGGCTTGGAGACAAAGAGATATGGGTTTAAATCCTGGCTCTGTCACTTGCCAGCTGTGCGATCCTGTGTTGGTTCCTTAACCTCTTTGAGCTTTAATCTGTCATCCGTAAGATGGGGTGGGGATGGGGAAATAACATTTACTTCGAGGGTTTGACTGGTCTCTGGAAGACAGCAGCATTCCAAAACTGTCTGCATTGTTATTACAGTTAATAATAATATTACCTGTGCCATGAGGCATTTTTCAGCCTGAAATCATCCTCCCACTACCTGAGATCTTGCTGGAAGCATTTTAATGGCCCCTTGGCCCAGCTCATGCTAGTGGGAGCCTTGCCTGACCATACCTGCATGCCTATTCTCCACGCTTCTTGGCCTGGACACCACACACTGATTTCTTTCAGAACCCCAGGGCTGCTTAAGGCTCGGGAAAGGTAGAAAGTTGCCATGCTAGATCTGGGAACGTGGAGCCCAGAGAAGTACACTGTAGGCTTAAATGGAACACCGGCCCCAGGGCCGCTCCCGGCGGGTTCCTGAGCTAAATCCTCCAATAGTTCCATGACGTCATAGGGCCCCCCTCCCCCTGCTGGGACCCGGGTGGGGGGCGCCTCCTGGGGAGAGCGCAAGGAGGACGGCGGTCCCTGTGCTCACCGTTGGCCATCGCTAACCTAGGACCGGGCTGGCAGGCTCGCCCCTGAGCCGAGGCTGCGCTGCAGCGAAACCCAGGTATTTACAGCCGGGTATGGGTCGAAACAGAGAGCTGTTGTCCCGGC